CCGAGTTCGGCGTGGCAACTCGGGCCGGCATGAACTCGACTGACACGGCTTAGCCGATGCACGGTTTGAAACGGTGCCACGGTCACTGACGCAGGGGCGTGCTTGGACCACGGCTAACGGAACGGCGCGTAGACGACAAGTCGGATGGACTCGGTGCACGGGCACGCACTCGGGGGTTCGGCTCCAACAGTCGGACGAGAGACGGTCACGTGCGCGAGACGACGATACGCATTACGAATTAACGATACGACGGCTAATAATTATCCAGACGGTACTAGGGTTCAATCATTTAAAATCGGATCCAGAAATATACCCGGTTATCGGAATCGGATAAAACTAGGGTTGATATATATATATATATATATATATATATATATATATTCTATGTGATTTATAATAAATTCATAATCCACAACTGCAACTAAAATCTCAATCAAACAAATATTTTATTTTTACCGCATTAACGTCTAAAGTCCCGATTTTTATATCTAAGTCGAATGACATCCAAAATTCACGAAATTTAAAACATAACATCCTCAATATATGTATGGTCTACGGTCAACAAATCAAGTCCAAGTTCAACTCCTAACCCATTTAACTAGTAATCGCTACAACCGGTCAAATACACATAAAATCGGTTCGCCTATCAAACGAACCCCGAAAATTCTCAAATTTTTCCTAAGCCTCAAGACAATTAATTATTATTTATAAAATTTATTTAATCATTTTATCACTTATGTATAAAGAGAAATCGATCGGTCCAAGCTCGTAAAAATCCCGATAATTTAATTTTCGTTCAAATCATCAAATTCACATTTTTATATCATCTCAAATATTTTATCTAAGCCATCTAAACTGAGTTCTAGTTATTATACCTCACAATGCTCGAAAATGAGTGGTCCGTGAATAGATCGGCTTAAGGATTGAAGGGAAAGAGCAAATCGGTTCGGATCTTGAGCTGTGGGGCTGAGTTCTTGGGCTGCGGGCTGCTGAAAGTCACAGATCCGAGGTGGTTCGGCGCGAGGAGGAGCTGCTAGTTCGATTTTTCCATTGATCGAGGATCAGGCTCACTCGTGGTGGTCGAAAAAACTGAATAGCGGTGACTTGCCGACGCGAAGGAGCTGCAGGCTCAACTTGTGGACTGAGGTTAGGTCATGTGTGCACCGAGCTGTGGTCTAGAGGTGACTCGCCGACGGTTCAAGCTCGCTGGTGCTTCGAACGGCGTGAAGGAGGAGCTCGGACCTGTGGCATTTTTCCGGCGAGGATGAAAGGTGGAGAGCTTGTTGGGTTCAGTTTCGGCGTGTGTTGGCCGAGTGGTGCAACTGGAGCTGTTTTCCGACGTGAATCGCCAGAATCGAGCCTGGGTGCGTGTAACCTGGTTGAACAAGCCGATGGTGGTGCGGGAGTTGCAGCCTGGAGCTGGGGGGCGACGGGATGGTCGTGAATAGGGTCATGGGAGGTGGCTGACTCGCGAAATAGAGCTGGAATGCATGTTGTATTGATGTCGTGCAGCTCGGGTGTGGGATGCGAGCAGGTTGGTGCCGTCGCGCGGAGGAGCTGGCCCGTGCTGAGACCTGCCGGTGTGGAGGAGGCGCGACAGTGGTGGCGAGCTCGAGTTGCAGCTGGGAGGCGCGAACGGGATGGATCACGGCGGCTATGGGTCGGCACGACGACGGAGGCGTGGAGGCGGGTCGCCGGCGGCGGTGAGATGGCCGGAAAAGTGGCTGGTTTTTATGGTGGAGGTGGTGATTGAAGATTAATCTTGAATGGCTAGGGTTTTCATGTGTGGTGGTGGGAGGTGGAGTTGGAGATAACATTCTATTTATAGTGGGACTGAAGGACTAGGGTTTCCACTTGTTATTGGGCCTCAACATTGGGCTTAGTAATCGGGCTATAAATTCTCAAAACCGGGTTAGTAAATTTAATTCGACTTGGGCTTAAAATTTTTTTAAATTGAACATCGGTTAAAGAATTAAATGCTCGGTTAATAAAACTAATCGAACTTGAACTAATTAAATTAGTCGGTAAAGATTACTAGAATAATTGGGCTCGATTCTTAAAGTATCGCTTGGGCTTGAAAATTAATTCTACTACTCGAATTAAAAATGAGCTGACTAATAAATTGGATTCGCTCAAAATCCATTGGGCTCGAACAATTAAATTATTCGGTTTCGATTCGCTTAAATAAAATTCCGATTAATCCAAGGCTCGGTGTTATAAATATCACCGATACTTGGGCTAGATAAATTCGACTTTAATAATTAAAATCGAATAAAATCTCTATGGCTTAGATTTTAATATTTAATTATTCAATCTAATGCAAATACATATAATAAATGCATCAAATTAAGAAACTAGCTATTTATGGAAATAAAGTCGAGCTCCATAAATAGTAACTAATATTCTGGGCGTTACAGCTCGCATGCCGCTGAAACCGAGAGGTAGCGCCTCACCCGTTCGGCGTTGGTGAGCAGCCGGTCCTTGGTGGCAAGCCACATGAGTGTTTGGGCCCGTTGCAGTGTGGGCGCTCGCCAGAGGACTCGCCACAGAGGTTGATCACGGTCGCTTCCGTTTGTCGAGAGGTTCCGGTAAGCTGATTTCGTAGAAAATTTGCCGTCTTGAGAAAAACTCCATATAATCCTATCATCACCTGCTTCAGCCCGTGGTGGGGGTGTGCCGGCTATGAGCAGGATTGCGGAAGAAGGATGAAGGTCGTGCATACACTCCCACTTCCATCTACCACTTCCATCGACAAAGTCCGCGACGGAAGCATCAATATTAACCAGTAGCGGTGAAATTTTAGTATGATTTGATACATGCATGTTGTCTTTCGAATTTAAATAAATCTTAAAATTTACAGAATAAATAACATCAATGAATAAACTAAATATCTAAAATTTAAAAAAATAAATAAATAAATAAATAAATTAATCTCTTAAAAAGTCTTAAAATGTATATATAATTGCTGGCAAGATTCAATAAATTTTATTTAGCTAGCAATCAATAATAATATGAGTTCATTTAATAAAATAGGTGTTCATTTAATAAAAATATGTTCACCATTTGATATAAACTAGTATTCATCATGTGCACATGCACAAAGAAAAATAAAAATTTATGTACTATATGTATGTATACAATATATATAATTTAATTTTAGATAACGGATGTATTACATTTACTATATATGCAAATGTGTAATGTAAATATAAATTATTTAACTTACGTATGAATCTTTATATTGATGTCATAAATTTTAATGGACAATATAATTTAGTAATTTAGAGGGAACATACAATTAATTAGTTATAAAAAGTATTATAATTATTTTTATAGAAATTTTTTATATGGTTTTAAGGTGTTTAATTATGACACTCGTGTCAATTAATTAATATTAAATAAAAAACGCTTAAAAAGACAAAAAATATTTGATTTTAGAAAAAGTATTTTAAATAAAAAATAATTGTAATTTAATCTTTTATAAGTATGTAACTTCCACATACTATTTAATGTAAAATTAGTTTAAAATTGTTATTACGCTTTATTAATTTAAAATATAATGTTTCTACATTAATTGAAAAAATGAGCGGAAAAATTATGAAGGTTTTATTAATTATGTTTTATTTATTATTTTGCCAGCAATTATATATATATATATATATGTATTTATTTTGACATGTCCTATTTTTTATGTTGCACATTTGTGTAACGCATTTTTATATCTTAAAATACAAAATATATTTGTTTTTATTTTGATACTATATAAATTTTAGTATTATATAAATACATATTTTCTTAACTAATTAAGAATGACTAGCAACTTTCACTAGAATGTGGCCATATTTTATATTATATCACTTAAAAAAAAAAAAGTTTGAAATAATGTGAACGCCATCACACACACACACAGGTATTTGCAGATTTAAGGAATCTAATGAGAGAATCCCATATCACCACGCCTTTCAAAACTACTAGGAATAAAAAATTATAATATCATCATTCTTGTTTTCTGTTTATTCTTCTTCCCTATTACATACAAATTGGTCACTAAGCTATCAATTGTGGAGTCAACTATATATAAATACGCAGAGTCAATTCTGCACAAAACAATTTTCTTCAATTTTTTTTTTTTTCCACTCAGAGAGAGAGAGTTCTCTCTGAGGAATTTCATTGACAGATTGACAGAATCTGATTAAAGCTGTTCTCAAGTTCCGATTTTGAATCTCCATAGGTACATAATTACTATCCCTTTTGTACTGTAACAGGGATTTATGGGTTTTTTTTTTTTTTTT